TTTATCTTATGCGCGCGCGCTCGGGATAGAACGCGCGAAATTATTCATATATAATACGTAGGCGCCACATAAACACATAGTAGCAGTGCGATAGATATACGGTTGCCTTCAGCCTTGAGATATAGAAGCGCTGAGCTTAACCGGAACGCGCGCCCGCGCGATTGATCTTATATTATATGCAACTATGTGGCACATAGGTTACTACTTGCATTATACTTGCTGAACGCGAACACGCAAAGTTCCTTAGAAACTTGGGTGCGTCTCTCCTTTCTCTCTCTCCCTCTTTCTCTCTCTCTCTCTCTCTCTGTCGAGATATGAGCGGCGCGCAATGAATCGCCTCTTTTTATCACGATAACCACCGCAAGTACACGCAGCGATACTCGGGGCTGCACTTCAAGTATTTATTGCTATTTACGTGTATCAAATGCACGAGGGAAGGGGGTTAAAACTTTAATAACACATTATGAGAGTGGGATCTGTGTTTTTAATGATAAATATTTTTTCGCGTATTTTTTATTACTTGTTAAATATAATATTTATTCGGCATTATCTGTTTTATGTTCTTGCGAAGAACACGCTCGCGCATTACGAAGAGAATTTATTTAATAAAACACGAGATATTATTACATAACCTCTTGCAAACGTATATCCGTATTCGTTTTATTTCCTCTGTGTACACTACACATCACAGACACACACACACACGCGTATATCATTAACTGATGCAACACATTCGCGAATATTATTTCGCGGACTGCTGAGAGGTAATATCATATCTGTATTTTATGTGATTTAAATATTGTATTGTAATGAAATCATTCAATCTTTAGCTCAAAGCTTATTTATTTTTTCATGTGTTTTAACGCACTCTCTCGCATTCGATAATTATCACACCGCGTTGTCATTTTTTGACATGTTTCTTTCTCGTAAATTCAATCTTTTGAGAAAAGAAATCCGTGCTGTTTATAAAACGTGACACGTTGTGTCTGAAAAAATAAGATTTTTATTTTAAAAAAATTAATTTTTTTTTTACAAAATTGACGTTGATTCAAAAATTTCGATCTCGGTAAAAGAACTCAATTGCGAACGTGGAAAGACGCGAATTTCTTAAGCATTACTCGAAACAAACGCGTTTAATGATCGACATGACTGCAATGGGCAGTATCCGTTTACAGAATTGTTACAGACTTTCAAGACCGGCAGCATTTGTTGAATGCGACGCGGCGGCGGCGCCGTAAAGCTTATTGGCGTGTTAACTTCACTTTTACACGCGTACCTGTAACATTTATAGCACGCGCGCTAACGGGTGAGAGAGAGAGAGAGAGAGAGAGAAGGAGAGTTACGATCACGTGTTTATATCGCGCGCGCGCAAGACTTGCAGCCGGCACTTCACGCTAGATAACGCGGCTTTGGTTGTAATTCCTCGTAATACAGCGAATCTAAAATTACCACTGCGGCTTTCTGTTTTACGACATATTCCATCTTTTGTGCTCCAACTTCGTTAGGAGCGACGGAAAAGTACGCTTTAGGACACGTAGAAGCGCACTACGTTCTTTGAACTTCTGCGTAAGACAATTACATCACATCGTAATTGATTTATGATTTTTATAATACACAAATATATGTTTCTCGCACAAATTTGCGCGGTAGCGCGATTGTTATTTTTTTAATTATTTTTGCATCGAAGATCTTTAATTAATGTTCTCTTTTTTAAGACCAAAATTATTATCGGGAATTTTTGTTAAATCGCGCGGCGCACGTGTGACGTCGCTACGCTTTTCGTGTAACATCGGAAAATTGCATGATCCGTGTCAGACAGGAATGCGCGCTATCGCAACCCTGCAGCAGGGGGTCGCATTTGTCGATAAATCAGATCGCAGGGTCATGCTCGACTTTCGGGGTGGTGTGTCCGTGTGGTGACGCACGAGGCCTCGCGTGGCCTATTTCCTACGGACGATTTTCCGCGAATTGCCTCTATTATGTTCAATTATCGGCTCCGATGAGGAAGAGAGCGTTCGACGGAGAGCGGCGCAGGGCCGATGATGCGCGCCCCTTCGGATGTTGTTGTTGCGAGAACAACAGAAACGGAGAGAAATAACATCGAGTAAATCTCTCTCTTTCTCTCTCTCTCTCTTTCTCGATTGAGAGAGAAAAAGAAAATCAATTCACGAGCAAAAAGACGCGTTTTCAATAAAACGATATTCTTGAGATCTCCAAACGTGACAATACTCCTGTATCGTATCGCGTAATTAACAAATTTCATTCTCGCTGTAAAATGAACATTCCTTGGACGCGTAACCGAGCTTGTGAGCGAGAAAAGAGGTCGAAAGGGGGAGACGAGAGGAGGCAAGAGCGTGCTTCACGACCACAGCAGAGAACCCGGAAAACACGTTGTCCAGACTCGAAGAGAGAGGCTGGTTCTCGAGGCAGTTCTTGACGGTGAATGAACGCCACTTGAAGAGCGAACCTTGTTTACGCAACGGCCGCGTCTTTCCACGATATGACTCGCGCTGAGAAACACCGAGCAATTAGGGACCTCCTCTCGAAATCGACATCCACTCGTGTCGTACCGATTCCGAGTCTCCCTTTGGAACTATCGTGCAATTCTTCGCGTTGTTGAAGCGACTGGCGTTTAGGGCTCGTTTTTTTTTTTTTTGGTGAATTTTGTCTCTCTCTTTTCCCGTAAACTTTTCTTACGAGCAATCGTGTAGCGACTAGAAATAGACTGAAAGTTTAGAAGCTATCAGTGTTTTATCAAGTTTTTTTTCAATTAGCGATGAGAAAGAAAAAAGTGTCACACGCAAGTAAACAATGTAAATATTTAATAACTTCAATTTTTACAATTAAGTAATTATTTTACGTTGTTTTTTTTTCACTTTTTCAATTATCCGAGCATTTGAAAGGGTTAAATGGTGCCGGTTTATTACGACTTTGACCTGTTGAGCTAGAAACGCTTTCCACGACGAGTTTCATCGCCGACTACTCTCCGCCGTTGGAATCCGTCGTCTGATTACGACGTTGGCAAACCGCCGCCGTGATATGGCACACGCCAACTCGTTTATAATCCGATTTCATTGTTGTCGTCGTCATCGCCGCGGTGGTTCGTACAAGCGAGATTAAAGAGACGCGCGGTCGCGGCTCGTGTCGCTAAAAGGACTCCGGGAAAATTGAGAAGACCGTGAAAGGATGGCGGAGGGTTGATTTTTAATTCATTCGCGGTCGGTCGAGAACTGCCGGACACTCGTTAGACTCCCTCTTATACGTGAGTTAATGCTGCGGTCCACACCTTCTCCTTCTCTTCGTTTGCGAGAGAAAAGATAAACCCTTTAACTCTCGCTTGATCTCTCTACTACGAACAAAAATTGTTCTGTTCTGCATATTCATTGCGAAAATTTAGACGGTGTTCTTTGCATCTCTCAGCACGCGTAATTATAAAATATTAAAAAAATTTATATTAATCTGTTTTTTTTCGCGACGTTGTTTGATGAAACGTTGTTACAGTTTTCATATTGTTACACAACAATATATTGCGTGCATTTTGAAAATTATTTAATCTTTTACGGAGATAAATATGTATTTTGTATTATTTACATTGTCAATTGGAACCACATCCATTTATTACACGTACGCGTTTTATTGATTCTATGCGATATTTATATTTCTCGTTTTAATGTTATATAAACTTGCTCGCGCGGTTAATTAATTAACCAGTTACTCAAATCACATTTATTTGCTAATAAGCCGTGATCCGGCGAGCATTTTTAATTATCTGTCCTCCTTCTCTTCTTGCGCCCTTCTCCGTTCGTTTGGCTATCGATTGACATGCCGTGAAATAAAAATATCTGCCGCTCTCGTTCGAGGAAGGAGTAGAGGGGGATTTAAAGACGGGAGCACCTCTGAAATATCCATCTTCCTTAACCCGGTAAGAAGCGCGTTTTCCGATCAGTTAAGCCCGACTAAACCTCAGCGACGTTTCTAAGAGAGACTCGGAACGGTCGGGGAAAAAAGAGGTAAGCGAAGAAAAAAAAAGAAGATTGGGGAAGGGAAAAGCAGCAGAGCGCACTCGGGCGGGGGAGGGGGTGAGTTTCGGGAGTTCTTTCGAGAGGAAGCGCCGTGCTCTCGACTGAGTTCGACTAGATAGAGTCGTGATTGAAAACTCCGCCCCCGGCGAAGGCACGAGCCTCGACTTAAGTGTATACACACGCGAGCGCGCGCGTGCACACACACACACAAAAGCGAGGCTATATCCGACGCTTTCTTCGACTACACCGCATATGGAATAACGTAAGCTGGGATTGCGAACTTTGGTCCGGGAATTTCAATAAATCCCTTTTCTCACGCACGAAGGACACGACCGTGCGAGAGTTGGGCACCCTGCTCGTTTGACCGTGTAACATACGTCTCTTTTCGAAACTATTATTTTGCTGTGGCGATAAAATTCGTTGGAATCTCATACAACCGTGAGAAATGAAAAGGTAACTAGAGACATGTTGAATGTTAAAAAGAAAAATCGTTAAACGTCTTTTATCAAAAATAATAAAGAAGTAAAACAATGATTGTTTTACTTAGTCACAAGGGATAAAAAAAAGTATGTGACTTGAAACAATAGAGATGATCTTGAAATCTTCGGAGCGTCTCCATCCACAGGAAAATTATTGCCGTAATATATTACGGTTTTCTTAATACCATACAACTCTCTTGCGTAATTACAATATTTTCATATCTCCAGAAATATAGCGAAGATGTTTTCAGGTGGACAAAGTTATTGCCCCGTCCTGTACATATATTTCGTTAATATGCGGACGGGGTAGGAATGGAAACGGGATTATTTTTTTAGGCTTGATACATAATGCTGACATTTTTTCTTATTTCACGAGTTTATTTGTATCTTTCTTTTTTCTTCGCCGAGTTGTTATTTATGACTGGCGAGACATATTAAATTCTCAGCTCATTTTAGTCCGACGACTCACCGGAAATCTATTCTTTTTTTGTGCTTACAGGTTAAGCTCGACAAGAGTCACAGCGGCAAACCTTCCAGAGTCATTCATATTAGGAACATACCTAACGAGGTGACCGAGGCGGAGGTCATTCATCTGGGTCTGCCGTTCGGACGCGTCACCAATGTCCTCGTTCTCAAAGGCAAAAATCAGGTAAGTCTGACAAAGTTCTCAACATTGTTTCAGAATTTGATTTTTATTTCTTGGGAAGTTCAATACGTAATAATTTAGTTCGAGAGTGAAACTTTTGGTGTATATCATTAAAGCGATTAACGATCGATGATTTTTGTTGCGAAATTCACGAACGACGCGAGCGATGTTCTCGCGAACGCGATAAAAATGCTAACGACGCACTCGAGGAAATGTCGCGACACAAATGAGACGCATTTTACGGTAATTCGGTGCGGTCGTCGCGACGTGCTCGGTCGATCGTGCAACGGCGGGGACAGTCGCTGTTGTATCGTCGAATCCGAGCTGGCGATCGTCCGCGTTTAAGCATTATTATCCCGTTATTAACCCGCACGCGCGTTTCGCATCGCGATAACAAAAGCAGTCCGCTCTCTCCAACGTTGCTGGAAACGCAACCCTTCGTCAGGGTTCTGACCATCCCCCCCGCGTCCCCTGTCCTTTCTCTCGTTTCTCGTAACGCTACACGCATCGCGGAGCTATTATTTCGCGCGACGAGAGAGCCGGTTTATCGAGTTCCAGTCTCGGTTTATCGAGCACAACGTTTCCCATCAACCCTCGACCTCGTTCTCTCTCTCGGTTCCTCGTCGTAATCCTCCGCTGCAGAGATATGCAGCTCGAGAGGCGCACACACTCGCGGATTTTCTTAGTTCGGTCGCGAAAGAGGGACTCGAGAGACGCGATCTCTCTTTGCGCGATACGTTTTCTCACGTTTACTAGCACTCGCAGAATATATTTTTGCGTCGTATAATTTTATTGTTTTGTTCTTCCGACGGTTTTTTGTTCTGTGTTTTTGCAGAGAAAGAGTAAATTCTGTTCAACGTGTATCTTTTCTACGACATTTTCAAGAGTTTCTGGTTCGCGCAAAAATGTTCGTGTCTCTCCTCGCTCTGTTATTGTCAGATGAAACCTGACTGAAAAACGGTAAATTCGGATCAATTTTCCGACGCGTAACGTCGATGTGTACGATCGGCTTTTACGAACGACACTAACCGGGGCCATCTGCGATCTCTCCCCCGGCGTATACGCTCAATTACGCGCGAAACCAAATTACGTTTACGCGAACGTCGTTCCGGTCTGCGTGATCAAAATATCAATTCGCTTTGACGACATTAATTCCGTTGCTTGCACGTGCGACAATGCTCGCCAGAAGGTTAACGTCGCTTCATAAAGCCGTGTGCGGGTTTTGCGACGTGTACTCCCGTCGCACGATGTGACGATCGTGTATTCAAATAATAACGACGCTCGTCGGACTCTGTTGCCGCACCGTGACTTCGCACGCTCGTACACGCGACGTGTGTATATAATCGCGATGTAAATACACAACGAGGTTATCTGCAGATACTAATCCGTATTCTGTTTTTCGCGTAACTTCACATTTGTTTTTTTTTTTTTTTTAGCGCGAACGGATGTGGAAAACGAAAGAATTATAATAAAAAAAAGTAAAAAATATTTTTTACCCACAGTAAATGAAGAAGCAGCACACGCGCGTCATATATTGCGTTTGTATCGCGATAGCTTTGACGATTTCGACGAAGGTAAATTTACGAGAGAGAGAGAGAGAGAGAGAAACGTGTTTTGCTCTCTTCAATATCGTGTAATAATTTTTGTCGCTCGCGGAAAGAATAAAGTCTGCATACGCAAAAAAACAAGCCCGCGCACACACGTTTGTGCGCGACGCAATACGGTGTTTCGAAAATCGCGCAGCTTTCAACGGCAACGGTTATTCTGAGCTATGTAAGCAGGAATTGCAAAAATAGGCCAACAGCTCACACACATTGTGCATACGTTGTTCCAGATTTCGAACAATGTGGAATAGCCTACGGTAACACAGCGAAACTTTGCAAATTTGCTTCGTGTTTGACATCCGGACCGCTTTAAATTTATTTTTAATATTTCAGAAACTAATAACTGTATTTTTCGAAAATTCGCGCATACGCGCGCGCACACACACACGCACACACACGTGTGTATAAACGCGCAATAAAAATTTTCTGTTTTAATTTTATTCGTTATACAACTGAAAAAAATATATAATATCGCGAGAGAAAAGAGCTTTTGCGTATATAGAAAAACGTCTGTTTAATTTAAACACATTTTAACGAATATCAAGTAAACTGCTCTGCAGAATATCGCATTGATTTTATCGTCGATTTTCCAATTGCATTAAAAAAAAAAACTAAATAAAATATAAAAACGCACAGAGTTGAATTATATCTTTTATTTTCAAATCTCTCGCTTAACACATTTTTTTTGTGTATCGCGGCCAACTGACGACTCGTTTGCGAGTTTGATTATCGACGAGTCAAAATCCGCTTAAATTGCAAGTTATTCCCCGGTTTGCTTTTTCGTGCGCACGCGCCGGCGATTCTTCGAAAATTTTCCCGTTATGACGGAACGAATTTTAATGGCGAATCGTCAGAAACGCACGGGAGAGAGGGGGAGGAGGAATAGATTGAGCGCGAACGCGACGGACGGAGCTTCGAAAAGGATTAAATTGGAACACCGAGTATTCATCATGGCTTTGGTGGATGGGAGAAGGGAGAAATATTTGAATAACTTTGTAAATCCTCTCCAATGCGTATTTTATGACGTGCTCGCCTCGGTTTCGAATTTTCTCACATCTCTCGTTTCACTTCTCTCCTCTTCCCGCGATTACTTAACAATCTCTCGGCATTTTTTACAATCTTCTAATCGCGTTTCATTCCGACACATTTTTGCGTGTCGCGTCACTTCGCTCGATCAAACAGTTGATCTCTTTTTTTTACGTCGACGTATAAATAGCTGTTTCTGATCTCGCTTCAAGACAATTGCGACAATTTTCCAAAATAAACTGTTTATTTTGAGAGAATTACGTGAAACTTCGATACGCGCAATATACGAGTCGATATTTTTTCACAGGAGATATACTTGGAGATGTTTTTATCTCACGTGATATGCGTGAAATACGTAAAACTCTCTTCTCGATTTATCTTTCTTGATTCCGAAATATAATGTCGCGCTCGATTTAACACGACACACAAAGGAAATTTGCTTTACCGTCGTGCAAAGTATATTGCGATCTTATTGCACGCTTTCGCGCAATTTCGACCGTGTTTTCGAGAAATTTGAATAGTTCGGGTATATAAAATGAGCAACTATACACGGAATGTACGAACCTTTCATCGCGTGCGCACACACACACACGTTGCCTCAAAGCGCGCGCATTGCCTAATCAGCGTGGTTAATTGCGGCATGCGCTTTGCGCGAAATATGTAATAGGCGAGGCGCGTCCTATTTGGAATCTATTATAAATGACTGCGGTGAGAGAGAAGCGGACATAGCGGAACTTCCTTCAAAGGAAATGTGTTTGCTCAATGTTATTACACAGTGCGCGCGGAATCTTGCGCGCGGAATATAATTCTCTCCGAGAATGTCCATCTATAATAATATATTTCGGAGAGAAGAAGCGGGCCATTCGATATCAAATGTTTTCACGACGTAATCAATTTATCTGTCGATGCGCAAACAATATTTTTTCAAAATTTTTTTCCATGTTTCACTGCATTCGGAAAAATGTCTCGCCAAAAAAACACATCAACGAGAAACAATTTTCCACCTTTGGAGCAAATTAAAAATTCGAAGATTCTTCGACATCGCGCGTTTCTTCGCGAAATTCGCAAGACGTGTGTGTGTGCGCCAACATAACGCAGAGAGATGTGGAATTGTGCGTGTGGGAATCTCGGGGGAATGTGTGAGCGCCGCTAATGCGTATGTAATTTGCACGTGAGGGGCAAATCTCTTCATCTGGCTCAATGCGGCGAACCGGTGCATCGATGCATTACTTTAATCCCCACTCGGGTATAAACAGCGGCCCGGCTCGATTCCGGCATTATCATACCTGTTGTGCGCCACACATAGTATTAAGAGGTGGAGGACGCGCGCGCGCGGGAAGAGGATGTGGAACGCGCGAGCATTAAACGCAGCGCTCGCATAATCTCGTTCGGACGGCCACGTCGACAAAGCCTCGGCGAAAGCCAGTCTGGTGACCCGGTGATTTCCCTCTCTTTTTCCCTTCCTCCGCATACGCACGAAAGAGAGAGAGAGAGCGAGAGAAAGAGAGATATGTCAGCGCGACAGCTTTATCGGCCGTGATTTTCGTCTGCGACGAGATCGTTTCTGTCGCTCGCACGCGTCCCACCATCTTTCCTCGCGATATCGGTCCATTGCACGCGCAATCTCGCGTGCTGCTTACGCACAGCAAAGTGTTCCCACCAGACTTACTTATTACCTCTCGTATATACACGTGGACAAACGAAAAAAAAAAAAAAAAAACAAACAAATTGCACGGAGGAAACAAAAAACATATTTTATCTTCAATCTCGATAATTCGATAAAAGAGCGATTCACTTTGACCGCGGGAACGGTAGCGATGCGATTTGTTAGGATAATGAGCGGGAGAATTCGCAATCGTAATAATAATAATCAGGAAATTATGGATACCAGGTTTACGGCTCTTCCCGCAGTCGGAATTACAGCAAATCGCGGAAACGCTGCGTGCTCCGCAAATGCAATTTCCCGACCACTGGCGGCCTTAGCCGTTCAGAAATCGCGACTCATCTTCTCTCTCTCTCTCTCTCTCTGTCTGTGTTTCTCTCTCTCTCTCTCTCTCTCTTTGTTTAACTCTGTCTTTCTCCCCGGGCCACTTTCGACGGCGTGTCCTGCCCGAGGCGGTCAAGACAATCCCGAAGTAACTTGATCAGCTGGGGAAACTCGCATTATTATCGTACACCCGGGCTTAAGCTACCCAATTACACGCAAACAGACGGTGCGCAGCCGCGAGAAGAGGACGAGAGAGGACACAACCAAGACACAACGCGGAGAGGAAGAGGCGGCGCGCACGTGCATTACGTCGCGGTAGTAAATCGAGTTTCGCGATGAACCGGGCTGACCCCCCGCGGGCACTTTCGCCCGTGTTTGCTTTGATT